TCTCTCTCTCTCTGTCTCTCTCTCTCTCTCTCTGTCTCTCCCCCTGTGTCTCTTCCTGGTCACGCTATCTTCTGTCCCTCCCCTGTCCCTTCTAATAAAACTCAGCTCTGATAAAGGATTTGTCGTGACTCATGTCTTTTCCTAGTGTAGGGAGCCAACATTCAAAGATGGCGCTGGCTTCCTGGTAGCCTAGCTGTAAACAACTCCATATTTGGCTATGCTCTCAGGACTACATGTCCTGTGACCTGCGCATGCGCGGGTATGGTAAGCAACCTTATGTCCTCAGCCTATCCCGTGGCTCCCCGTGCTTGCATTCTGGTGGGACCCAATCACAGTATGGCACGTTTGCCTGATTCCCTATATAAGCAGCTGCAATTTAGTTTTCCGGGCCCCTCACTTCCGGCTCTCCCTTAACCAAGAGGCGTTCCAATAAAGTATGATCTGAGAAGAATCCTCAAGTGGTGGTCGTTCTTACTCGCTGGCCGAGGAGCGTGCCGCATCCTAGCATAGTAAAAGCACCTCCTTAAAACCAACACTCTGGCCCTGAGCTGTTGGGATTGGTTCATCAGCAGGGCCCCCACTGGCAGGAAAAAAACCTTGCCGGGTTTGGTTTAAGCCGCCCTGGGCTTTGTCTCGGCCTCGAAGGTGATGAAGAAGGCCGCCATCTTGGGGGTTCACCATCTGTATTGCTTAGTCACGGCTCTCTTACGGCCTTCACGGCATTTTTCTCTAACCTCTGCTCCCTCAGAAATACTTGCTTACCAGAGAAACAGGAGTACTATTCATGAGCTCTCTCTTCTGGTATTAGTCAGATAAAGTGAAACTGTTGAGAGAGGCTGCAGTGGATCCCAGACAGCTGAGTCCACAGACAGCAGCTACGGCAACTTTCTCCTAAGTCAGTTTGTTTAAGGACGTTGCCCACTGCTGTGAGGACTTGCCCGCCGCCGTTTTCAACCCACAGAAAAGTCTGGAGAAGGAAGGAAATCTTTACTTTGGTAACTTTTCCAAGCACAGTAAGTGCTCTGACTTACAGGAGGAGTATGTGACTTGCAGGCACCTGGAGGGCCGAGCCACAACTCAAAATCAGGGGCAGCAGAGGACGCGGACACCTCTGGCTCTCCCCTAAGCAGGGTGGGCTCTTCAGTCTGTTTAAGGGTCCTGGGTAGCTGTGGAGGAGGGGCACTTTAGGTGTGCACTGGATGGCCCAGATAGGGCCCAGGGATTCCAGGGAGGCCTGGTTAGATTGCCTTCCTCTTCACTTTGTCCCCCAGCTCCCAGACTGTGTTTCCCACCACCACAGCAGGGGGCTGTCCACCTAGAGGAACTTGGCCTGATCTCCTGAGGCTGACACTAACTAGACCCCTGAGCTAACAATAATTGTGAACTCTGTTTTTCAAGAACTATTCTATTCCTAAACAAAAATATGAAAGTGGGGGTGGAGCCATGGCTCAGAGGTGGAGAGTACTTGCTGCCCTTGGAGAAAGAGGATCAATTCATTTCCAGCACCCACATGGTGGCTCACAATTGTCTAAGTCCAGTTCCAGGGAATTCAACACCTTCTTCTGACCTCTGTGAGCATCAGGCATGCATGTGGTGCACTAACAGGCAGGCAAAACTCCCACACACATAAAATAAAATAAAACTTTAAAAAATTAACAGGAAATGGATTTAAAGAATGAGTTATAAACGTTTTTCAAATTGAGAGGATACAGTTTTAAAGTAGAAGTCTCCAATGTCATTTTCCCACCATTTACCAAAAAGTAAAACTGCAGATGGATTTGAGGGTGGGATTGATCTCCCATTCCCACCCTACTGAAAAACTTGGCATATAACAATAGGAACAGTAGGATTGAGATTGTTCCTTGATACCACAGAATCATTTAAGGCCAGGAATATATGGGTGCCCTAAGGGAGGGGGAGAATTTCTGACAGCCCTGAAGTCTGGGGGAAAGGCGCACATGAGGAGGAGAGCAGGAGGGACAGAGGACATGGGCTGTGGGAGTCAGGAATGGAGGTGGAGGGGAGGTTGGAAGAGGGGCACTTTAGGTGTGCACTGGATAGAGCCATGTGTCTGAGCATGTCCAAGGTCCTCCCACCAATCCTCTAGGAATCCGGATGCCTTCTTTGATTTAGAAACTCAGAAGGGCTGTTTATCTCTCTCCCTGAGGTAGCTGGGTTCTCAGAATCAAGTATGAATGTGGGCCGGGCAGCGGCAAGTGTCTCTAAGACTACAGGGAAATGTAATCTGATGGGCGGCTATTTCAATCCTAACTCCTAAAACATTTCGCTACAGTTCTTTTAATTACTGTGGGTGAGATAAGTGTAAAGCCCAGCCTCACTCTGGCGGGAAGCAGCAGAGTGAACATTCCAGATGCCGGAGAAGAGTGCACTAACAAGTTTACTGTTGGTTCCTCTTTCTCCAAATGTATTTAAGTAATATACACCATGATAGAATAATACAGAATTGCAATGGTGCTTCCTGCCCACCCTATAGCTCTCCACCCCTCCACCCCCACCACCTCTCCATCCCCGCTCCCCAGCCTCTACTGATCTCTAGAGACCCCTGTGGCAGCCTAACAGGGGAAGATTCTGTTCCCCTAGTGAAGCTCCCTCCCCCTTAAACTTAGTTAACCTTTCATTAAATACATACGGTTTTCTCCCTCGCCAGCTGGAAAGGTGGAGTCTGCAGTTAACATTCTCATGAAGGCTTTGCCGCAATTGTCTTTCTGCTGATGCAAACCTCGAATGAATGAAGAAGTTTGCAAACACAAGGTTTTCAAACCACTTGACTTGGAGGCTCCGCCCAACTTGCCAGTGATTTGTTGTTGCCTGATTCATCAATCCTTAATATATCCACCCTTTCAGCAAATAAAATCTGCTTCTGGGAGAAAGAGAGTTAATATGTGACAGGAAATGTGGTGTACCGGAAAGTAAATAAACGGAACTGAGAATTGTTTTAGATTTTGATAATGCAAAATGCTTTTGAATTACAGCAACTTCACACACTTTTCTCCTCCGCCAAGGTGGGATGACAGGGGGTGTTTCACTGTCCTGCGGAAATCAACCTAAAAGCAAAAGAACTGCAAAAGTGGGAAATGTAATTGCCAGTCTTTTTCAAGCCTTGTGAGAATGGAAGTTTCTGGAAAGTAACAGAAACTTCCACAGAACCTTCTACATCGTTGACTGCCTAGTAATCAGTGACCATAGAGGGTTTGAAAACCTGTAAGTTCAGAGCCATCTTTAACCCTCTTTAAAAAATTATTTTACCTTATGCATATTAGTGTTTTCTGGGCATATATGTGTGTGCACCTTGTACACGCCTGGTACTCATGGAGGTCAAAGAGGGCATCAGATCTCCTGGACCTAACTGAGCCACCTCTCCAGCCCTCCATCTTTAGCCCTCTCAATACCTGTTTGTTGCTTTTCTCTGTCCCTGACCTTTATGACCATCAGGTAACTCAGAAGACTAGCTTTCCTTGGAATATATTAACAGACAGACAGCTCCCACAAACCCAAGGGCTAAGAACATCATCAGGTACCATCTGACCCCTGGGAACAAAGGTCCCCCCACTTTGCTGTAAGCCCCTCTCTGATGTTTCCACCAAAGTGCTTGAAGTGTCTTTATGTATGGCTTCCTTTGTTCTATGACTATAAAGACTCCACTACCACCTTGGAATTTGGGGTAATGTAAATCTTGTTCCTGGGCCATGGTCACTCATTTTGTTTCTATACTAAACTCTTAACCCCTTTGAGGTGAGAGTTGTGATTCTGCAGACAATGGACAGTGACTCTCTGGGAACAGGATAGGAGAGCACATTGTCTCTGTAGGAAAAGTTAGGTAGAGAAGAGGTAGACTAGATACCAGCTAGCTGAGACTGCTTTATTGGAATAAAGAGGGGCCCACTCTTTCCATGGCATGAAGAATGAGCACATTTATAGAACGGGGGGGGGGGCCTTGGGGTGTGTGTGTGTGTGTGTGTGTGTGTGTGTGTGTGTGTCTGTGTCTGTGTCTGTGTGTCTGTGTGCACCAGAAAACTGCAGCTGTGTTTGTGGTCTGATTGGGAGCAGGTGATTGTCTTCACTACCCAGGCACATTGTTTCTGCAGGTGGAGCTGAACAGTCACTCTGGGGCTAAGCAATTCTTTATGGATGGGGCTACAGCCTAACACATCCTGACTCAATTCCTTGTGACCTGAGTCTCTTACTCTAAATATCCCAACTCTGGTATGGTGGGGGAAAAAATGGTTGAGAGGAGTTGTCCTTTGGAAAAGCTGCTGGTGGGTCCCAAAGGTGGAATTGGCATGTTGAGGATGAAAAGGGGTCTATCCAGAAAATGTTGTCTGTCTTTCTCTGTGTTTGACTCTTTCTAATAATTGACTAGCATTTCCCCTTACTAGGCAGGGTTGATTT